GAAAATGATTTGGACGTGAATTTGCTCAAACAAGACAACATAGTAAACCTCTTAGCAATCTACCACATGTACAAAAACTTCACAAGCCACCCATATAACAGACTTGTATCAGCAATTGTAAAAAGGTCACTGTCGAATAACGAGGCCACATAAAGTCATCGCGGAAGCAAGACCACATAAAGTCATCGTAGGTAGACGAGACCACATAACACATCACTCAATGCGAAAACCATACCCAGCCATCGTTGCAGCGAGGCCACAACACTCACTAGGCGAGACGACATAACTAACAAAGCAAAACTAAATTAAACTAATCTAAATCAAACTAAACCAGACTACTCCAAACAAACTACAGTCTACTCCGAGAACGGAACCTATATGTCACTTAATTCGTGGATGGATATGAAACCCAAACAAGGGCCACCTGCAATGGCATAAAATGAATCTCCACCCTCAACAATTCAAAACAAGCAGTAAAGCTGCAAATATCAAAACTCAGGTCGGAGATTCCAGATCTGAAATCTTCATGCCACGAGGCTGCCACAAATGGTGCAACTTCCAGATTAACATACCCAAGGCTATGGTGCTGCGGCGCTGGGGCACTGTAGTATGTGCACAAGGTGGCGCAACATATTTGGGCGCAGAAGGCAAGGCACCACAGAAAACGTTGATGAGAGCACCATAACACTAAATCAGGTAGATGGAAGTGGATCCAAACCACCAACAATCCTAATCCAAACCCTAGACCCGAATTAAACCCAAATCAAGAAACTGAGAAGGGCAAAACCCGGATCTGGGTAGGAGACACGAAGCCTTGGAACTACAGTACACAAAATGGTGGGAGAGAACAAATGGGAAGAAGAAAAGAAATCGTGCTGAAAATGAGATAGGGGAAGAGGGTTGGAGGAGGAGCGGAAGGGAAGAGAAGGAAAACTAAGTGAAGAAAGGAAGGAAAGGGAAGCTAGAGGAGATATGAATGGGTTGCCACCGGCCCCAAGCCATGGCAAAAGGCCAGCGGTAAAAAGACTTCAACAAAGCTCTGCGTCCTACTTTTTCATACATTCCTTTTGTAGTCCAAGCACTCTTTATATTTATAGCTCTACTACTTCCCTATTAGTATCAATTTTCAGTAATAGAATTTTCTTTCATAAACATATTCTATGCTTGCAAGAACTTGCTTAACTGGTCGTTAAGCTTGCTCGAAAGGTTTAAACTTTGTCTAAATACTTGAATTTGTCATTTATTTCCACAATTTATTGCTATTTTAGCTAACATTGGCAAGTCTTTACAAGTTCTTTATATTCAATGTTTCACTTATTCTTTGTTTTGCTTTACTTTCTGTCATTCTCTTTACATAAGGATTACAAATTGACTTGGACTAGTTCTAAGCAGTTTGTGGTATTTCCTTTGCATGAACATAAGGAAGATATAAAGCTATTGTCACCAAGGCATATAAAAGAAACTAATGTAGATTTTACCCCTCCTCATGGTACAATCTTTTGATAAGAAGCTCAATTTACATGTGGTGAAAGAAAATGACCTAAAAACAAACAAACTAATCAATCAATTGTTGGTCTTAGCCAATAGTAGCACACCTGAAAAATAAATGTGTAAGAGAGCCTAGGAGCATGCTAGAGGTTTTGCTAAGGCACCTTCAAATTAACACAGAATTCATCTTTCATGCAGAGGAGAATTATGTGTGTGGATCTCACAACCAACACTAAGCGTCAAAGGTAAAACCCATGAAAATTATATCTAGTGATACTCGATGGGATCATGAGTTCGAATCTTATATCAATAATTATTGAGGACAACAAGAAAGCTTATCAAAACAAAAATGAAGCAAATATGCAGCGGTTTGATATTTCAGTGACATTGCTTGAAGCTTTATGTCTGCAAAAAGTACTTACCAAAGTTCTTCAATTGCGTGTTAGTGAATCTTTCATTTTTTTAACTTCAATACGGCATCTCCTTTTGCCAAAAAAAAAAAAATACAAAAAATAAAAAAAGTTTAAGATTCCATTATGAAACTAATTGGCAATATATATATATATATATATATATATATATGTCCATGCAAGATCCTTTCTTCCATATATGTGAAGTTCATTCTCAACTATTTTATAACTTTTATTTGGATTGCTAGGTCTTGAGCTGTTTATTTATTTATTTATTATTATTAAGGTAATTCTATTAACACCCCACAATCTTATGAAGACACCCCACACTTAAGTTTGTCACGCAAACTTCCTCTTTTACCCCTATTTGAATTAAGGAGAGCAAAAAAAAAAAAAAAATCCAACTATCCAATTATTTGCCGACAGCCTACCACCTCACACCCATCCACTTACCATGGCACCACCTTCTCTAAAGTTCATCTTCTTGTTTGAAAGAATTCTTTGTAATTGATATCCGACATCAGTTTTCAAGACAACTAGATCTTGTTGATTTGATCTGTGCTTATGCACTTCTAATTTTCATTTTCTTGTTGCATGTTTCTACTATTCTTTGCCAATATAAAACCTCTAAAATTTGGGGATTTTCATTGCTTAATTGAAGTGAAGGACTGGTACATTCTTTTTTATTTTCTTGGGAAACGGGGTTGGTGAGTTTGGGTGTGGGACTTAGAATGTTAGGGAGAGAACGAGAGAGGTCGAAGATGAGATGTTGATGGGGTTTAGGGACAGAGATGTTTGGTGTTTCTTTTTGTTTTTGTTTTTGGGGCGGGGTGGCTTCAAAAATATGAGGGACAAAATTGAAATTTTGGAGGAATTTTTTGGATGTGGGGTGGATTCATAAAATTGGAAGGTGTGTATAAAATAACCCTTATTATTATAGGTTTAAACTTCATCATTTCGGTGTTTGAGATGCTAAAGATTGATTAGACATATAAATTTTGTTTAGAGTACCATTTGTATCTAATAGGCTTAAACTTCATCATGGTACTTGTACCGTTTGTATATAATCAATGAAGTATGAATCATTTTAATATTAATTTTTTTATTGACAGTTTATTTTTTTCGTCTAGGTTGGTGGGGGAAAATAAAAATAATCGTAAACATATGTGACCCTAAAAGACGTTTTTAATTAATATAATTCCCAAAATGCAATAATAATAAATATAAATGCATTAAATATATAATAAAGCAGGGGTCTTAATAATCGCCCTTAATACTACAAAACTATTAGGGGCGGAAATAAATGCTTATTTGCCCCTATTTATTAATAGCAATGCTCTTTTAGGTGCAATTTCAATATCCGCCACTCCTAACTATTAGGTGCGGAAATCCTCAATTTTTGCCCCTATTTCTAATCAATAGGTGCAAATGTATTGGCCTCTACTTGTTCATAGTTTTGTAGTGCCTTTTGAGTTCTAATTCAAATTGGTTGCACGATATACATAGAAAAACACGCGGAGTACGTATTCTTACCAATTGTGGAGCTTCAGACAATTTCTTTTGTCATGATTAACTCTATATTGGCCACACATAAGAAAAAGGTTACCATTAACCCTTTTTAAGTCTTTTTCCAGATCCTTTGGTCTTAACAGGATCAGGTTCAAGAAAACTAATATAATCTACTATCGATTTTTTTTTGCAGGACGTTCCACATCTTTTTTGGTTGCAGGAGATTTCACATTTTCATTGCTACTACCAACCAATGGCTTAATCTTTTCATTCACAACATCAATCGCCTCACAAAAAAGTTTAATTGCCTCATCATTTAGAATGACTTTATCAATCAAATGCGAATATTGTTGAAATAATGTACCATGCCTTTCAAGTATAGATTTGTCATCAGATATCTTGACACCAGAGTTGTTTACTATAATCGAAGATTTTGCAGATTTAGTCAATCTATTCAAAATGTATTCCTCTGGTAATATTTGAAGTTGACGTATTTTATGCAAATATGCCAAAAGATGGCTGCATGGGATTCTTGAACTATCAAAATGTTTGCAGCTACATGATGCAAAATCCTTGGATTTTTCATACAAAATTTCACGAACTCTACCCTTTTCGTCTTCAATGCGCAAAACTTTAAACATGCTGCAAGTATCATTTTCACTTGTAAGCTCAATATTATAGCTGTAACTTTCCCACAATTACTCTTACAAGTCAAGGTAAGAGCTATGTGTATGAATATTGGCTATTTGCGTATCCATCTTAATATGGCATTTGAGTTTTGGCCTCTTGTTCAAGTCAATGTGATCTGCCTTCAACTCTGAATGGCATTAACGTACCAAGGCCCTATTATATTTAACCATAAACTCAATGAAGGAGTTATTCTTGGAAACATATTTATTTAGAAATGAATGTCCACTCTTAGCTCTCTGACTAGTTGAGCAATTTGCAGAAAAAAAATGATTCACATAGGTTGGAACCCAAGTAGATCGAATCCTATATATCAATTACAACCAGTCGTTACCAGATAATCCACTTTTTGAAACAACGGCCATCCATTTCACACTAAACTCCTCTCTAGTCTCTGACTCCCAAATACATGATTTCAAATCTAAATAATGATCTTTGTAGTTGATCGCATGAAGCTTGTTCGAGAACTTATCCAAAATATGCCATGTACAGAATCTGTGAAACGTGTTTGGAAAACAGTAGGAATGGGTTTTGTCATTGCCGGATCTTGATTAGTAATTATCATTTTTGAAGCATCACCTGGCATGACATTCAAAAATTCTCTAAATGACCAAATGAATGAATATGTTGTCTCGTCACTTAGAAATGCAATAGAAAAACGAACAAGGCAAATAATATATACTAAAGCCCTAAGGAAAAAAAATGTTCATAAGAACAGTGTAATGACGGTGTTGCCCCTGTTATTCTGTTTAAATTGTTCTGTCTTTTTCTTTGTTGCACAGTGAAATGACTAAAAAGCCAAGGCATATGTGTTGCTTTTATACGATAGTGCGCTGTCATCTAATGTGCGTGTCGTCTCCTATCTATTCGGTTTACCTTTTCACTACCTAATAACCCTCGTTGCCTTTTTCTCTCACTCACAGCCATTGGAAAACCCCCTCAAGCCTTCAAACCAACAAATTCAATTTCGCAATCTCTCACACCTATCCCTCGCGACTTCACTATCAAGCATTCAAGGTATGGATTGAACTCTTAATCTTCCTCGACAAATCTTTTCACTTCTTCATATGGGATATTTTGATTTTCAGAAAATTTTCTCTTCCCAGGGTTCAATTTTTTTTTTTTAATTTTTAATTTTAGGTTTTTTGTCCTAATTTTGATGATTAGATTTTGAAATATCTTTTTTCCCAAATCCACATCGATATGGGTTTGTGGTTGTTTTAAGGAAATGGAAGAAGACAATGGTGTTGGAAATGTGCCCTAAAACCAATCATATGATGATACTTACGGACATTTCAAACTAATGTAGTTTAAAGGGCAAACATTATTGTTTGAGTCATCTCATATAAATGTTATATGCTTAAACGATAAGTCCAAGGAATATGTGATTGGAAGAATGCGATCTAAAGAAGTTAGATTCATGAGACCATTCTTTCGTTGACACATCCTAAACGTTCCTGATCATAGGATTGTCAATTGGGCATTGACAGTCCGTTAAGATCAGTACGTGCTATGTCTTCTCTCAGGGAGAGTGACTAGTCTCGAGTCATTGGTGTGTGTGACATCAAGACAAGTACGTAGGTGCTCAATAGAGAATGAGTTCACTGAACACGATCAACGAAGAGTTCTCATATTCATGTCACATGAGAACTCATGGTTGGGATAATGCAAATTAGTCTTTTGACCTGAGGCATCACAGTTGTCTTGTGGTTAGGTCCTTAATCTTTGATTATGTCAACGTCACTCTATCAGGGTGTCCACGGCATCGTTGGGGTTAAGCCACTTAGCCATGGAGGCAAGTAAATGCGCAACAAGGGATCTCTAACCTTCAAACTGTTTGAGGGAGAATACTCTATGATATGATTTGGAATCTCTGGCCAGAGTATGAATGAGATGTTGGAATGTGTTCCAGATCACATTCAAGGTAATCATATAAGTACAAAGATTCACATTGGATAGTAGACATGAATAAACTATCAAACCAAACAATGTGGTCAAGAGTATTGTATTAGAGAAAGACCGTATTGCATTTGTAATCCTAAACTGAATAGGTTCTCCACCTCTTCTGATTAGCTTGGGTAACCATGATATGCTGCTAGGTGTCACTCATGGTTTGTGGAAGCCCTAAAAGTGTATTATCATTAACGGGAGAATTGAAAGTAAGTTTCAATTCACAATCGATTTGAAAGAGTTTGAATCGCCCACTGCCTCGCTAAAAAGAACCTAATGGATCGTACACCGTGTAAGGTAGAGTTTGAAGATTCAACGGAGATGAGTAAGAATAATTAAATGGTTTAATTATTTATGGCAAGGATTAATTAATATGATTATTAATCAAACGAATAAGTTCGTTGAAGACCTCGGGATAGTTTTGGACCTTAAGGCCCAATGGGCTTCGAACGTCAAGCCCATTGACTTAAGTTGTATGACAACTTAATGAATAATGATTCACAAAGGCCCAAATAGCCCAATTAATCCCCATAGGCCGGCCATTTAGAGGAGGGTAGTGAACTTGGCTTAATTGCAAGTTTGCCACTCCATTGTGAGGTGGTATAAAGACATCTTTATAGCCATTTCATCCTTAGGGTTTTCTAGGGAGTAAAGATGAGAACACAAACCTCCCTTTGCTCTCAAAGAATTCGGCTAATCTAGAGGGGAAAATCTAGCAATCTTACTTCCTCTAGGTCACTCATTTCTTCTTTCAATATACCTTGGTGTGGAGACTTAGAGGTTCTCAATTTTGGGAACTTGGAGAAACATTTTCATCCATCCAAATCCATGGATCCAAGATGCAAGGAATGAAGACCCTCTCTTTGGGTGATTAGCCTTTGCTTATGCAAAGAGGAATCTACAAAGGTATTGATTTCTCAACTCACTTTATTTTTGAGTTGAGTCTTGATTCACCTATCTACTAGGCTTTGAATTTCATGGGTAAATGTTTTGTTTTAAGTGCATACAAGCATGATTCCGCCTTTAATTGTTAATTGCATGCTATTGATGTTGCTTAAATGAACATGTTTTTCACAAATTTTCCTTCAAGTGGTATCAAGAGCCTAAGTCTAGTAGTTGGTGAATCCTTTTGGGTTTTGTAGTTCATAGTTTATGATTTGAATGTTGTAATTGTTACAAGCTTTATTCTTGCTTCTTTGAATGTAAATTTTGTTAGAAAATTTGCCATCTCAAATGTTGTAGATGTAGTTCATATGAGCATGAATAATGGAACTAAAAGTTGGTGCCAAGTGTTTTGGGAAATTCGGCCAAATCCAAAGGGTGATTTTTTGGGTTCATGTTAGGCTTGTTAAAATGGTTTTAAAGTGCTTTTTGGAACCCCTAAGTACCCTAGGATATTAACCTTCTTTTGAGTTGTGAAAATTTGAGTTTTTGATGAAAGAAAACATCCATGGAGCTATTATGAGTTTTCATGTATGTTCTTCATATTTCTTGAAGTTCTTATCAAGAACAAAAAGTTTTGAAGTTTTGATTCAAAAGTTTTATGTTTTACATAAAGTTTTGATTATTAGTTGATGGGTGATGATTATGTCAAAGATATAATTTTGATTATTAGTTAATGGGTGATGATTATGTCAAAGATATAATTTTGAATATTAGTTGATGGATGATGTTTGTTGGTAAGAAATAATTAAATGTTTTTAATTATATCAAAGGTATATTTTCTTTTCAAACCATCCCCACCATCTTTAATCTCACCCACCAAAATCCACTTACAAAATTCTTTTTATCAAAAATCTCTATGTTACTATCCTATGGCCGGCCACCCCTATAGTGGGGTGCTTTTGTGCAATTAAATAAAGTTTTGATACTTTTGTGTATTTGTATTTTGACCCAAAAGTTTGTGTTTTTGCAAAATGGCCCAAATAGAATGAGAACAAAAATTGTTTTGTCTCTTTAATGAGAATTGGATTTTCATTATATTTAGTTCCATTTAAATCAATTCTATGGATACAAAAACCAAATGAAAATGTTGCATTCAAGTTTAATTAGTTAAAGCGTTGATTAATTAAAGAAAGGGTGATTATGAACCTTAGCCTACGATAATTGAGCTATGTGAAAGGCCGTTTCAAATTTGTTTGAACCATGGGAATGTGTAGATTAAATTTTGGTTGTAATTTGATATGATCAATTGTTGTAAAAGAGCATAAGCTCTTCTTTACTTTAAAGTAATTTGATTTGATCAATTGTTGTAAAAGAGCATAAGCTCTTATTTACTTTGAAGTACTCCTTTCTTGTTTTATTCGATATGCATGAAATTGGAGTAGTTGGGTCCAACGCCCAATAAGACAACACGCCTTAATGTGATTAAACGCGTAACTAAAATCAATCTCCATCCCTAGACCGAGATTCAACACTAGGCTCGTGTTTGAATCGAATCAAAGGTTCATAGTCATCCTAAGGCCCTAAGGCAACTATATAGTTCATCAATGAATGCAAACCTTATGTTAGTAGTATCATATACTCTTGCTTTAAAAACCGTTTTAAAAGCTTAGTGGGAGTATTATATACAACTAAATCAATCAAATGGACCAATAGTTGTAATAGGATCAAAATGTTTTAATTAGATTAAAATGTATGTTTATATGTGATGAGACCTAAAACCCTCAACCAAATCAATATTAAGTTGATAAGCGAGAGATGCTTTGAATATCTCTTCGTGGCCTTCCACCGTGGTAGGCTTCAATCGTTTGTGACTTGTACACCGGCTTCACCCTATAATGGGGGAGTACAAAGTGCATGCTTACATTCAGGAGGAGTCTATACGCATATGATGAGGTGAGTGTAGACAACGAGTATGGCCAACATGATATAATTCTGAGGTTGTGCTTGAACCTCTACATAAACTAAGCATGGGAGGAATAACTTAACTAAGTGCAATGGTGCCAACATGATATAATTCTGAGGCATTCATTCTCTAGAGGCCAAACTAGATGGGTAATTACAAACGTTGTAAATGAGTAAAGCGTTATTCTCTCATCATTATTTTTGCTAACCAACATCGTATAATCGTGAGGTGGGCTTGGTAATAGTGAGCCTCCCATACCCTACTAAGAGTTTCCTCCAAAACTCTCGAATTCCGATGAGGGATATGGAATTTGCCAAAAATAGTGGGTGGTGCTATTTGATTTAAAGACCCGAATCAAATGGCTTAAAATCAATCAATTTATATTCGTTATGTATTTGTTTACCAATATATTTGCAAACGCTATCCAAAACTTGACAAAAAAAAAAAAAACCGAACGCTTTAATTTCCGGACTTAGTTCTACAATCCCATAGATTGTCTTTAATGGCTTGTAGATGTAACTAAGTAGTCTCATCCTCACAATCTTCCTATTGATAATGTATCATTGGAAGAATATGTTAGATAAGTCTAACATGAGAAGGACAACACTTTTAATGTCATAATTCTTCAAATACAAATGTTGTATGAAGAAATAAGAGTTGCTTTGAACAACCCTTAATCAACACAAACTTTAGTGCTTGTCTCTTTGTTACACGAATAAAGAACTTGAGAAGTAAGCACAAGGGCATGGACACTTTATGTGCCATGATTCTTCACTTACAAATTGTTGTATGAAGAAATGAGAGTTGCCTTGAACAACTCTTGAAAGTTTGTTATTATGTTTAGAACATAATGGTTGGTTGACAAAAATAGTCCATTTATATGGACTTATGATGATTTTAAATCATTGAGTGTTGAAGTGTTAAACCACTTAACGAGACGGAAACTAGGCAAAGACTTCACCTTTGTGTCCCTATCCTAATGGTTCACTAAGTTTATTGTAAACTATATAGTGAACAATAACCGCACGCTCTCCAAATCGTTTGATGTGTATAACACATTTGAAATGAGTTTCAAGAGAGATAGTGGGAGTTTAGGGACCATGACTATTGTAGTCAAAAGGGAAGTCAAATGAAGAAGGCAAAATAACTCCAAGGGAACAAACTTTCTTTATGAAAGGATGGACATTGGAAGGGGTATTTGCAAGAAATGTCTTGCAAGTGTCAAGAACACACCTTTCGAAGGTGTTGTAATATGTTCTTGAAATAGTTCAAAACAGTTGGTTCTTCTACTTGAATGCTTGATTCCGTATTAGTAACTATGTTTTACAATTGTTGTAAAAGTGTGCTAATAAGAAGTAGAAGATTAAATGAGAGAAGAGAAAGTACTTCACATTCCAAACGTGAATCGAATATAGATCTCTGCGAAAGCGGATTGTACTTACTTCCTCATATGAACTACCAAAGAAATTGGAAAATACTAAAGATTGTCTTTACATTCCAATTTTAAGGAACTTAAATCCGTCACTATAGTAGAGATAGATAAATGTTTTGTTTGACAAAAACATTGTTCTTTATTAATCAATAATTAGATTATTGTAATTTAATTGGTTGTCTCTATAGTAGAGATGATGTGGTAGTTTAACTGTTTAGAATACGATGATGCTTAAAACCCAAAAGGTTACAAGGTAGTGACTAATCCCAACTGAGTTGTGATACATCTAAAACATAAGTTATGAGTTGGTCATAGATGGATGCTTTGGATCGTTAGATCCGGATCCAATACCTTCTTGTTAAAATTGTATAGAGGCGAAATGTTCGAATCTTTATTCTTTTGGAAAGAAGAAAGAATCACAAAGTTGTTGAGGTTAATTCACTTAGATGTTAGTGGCACTTGTCCACAACATAATACTACTCATGTTGTATGACATTCACCGAAGATCACTCTCGGTTGGACTATAGTTTATTTTGAATAAACATAAGTCCGAATACTTTGCAAAAGGTTTCAAAGAATTCAAGAAATGTAAGTAGATGAGTAAGACGTCTAAAATATTTACCTCCTTAGATTTGATCCAAGGAAAAAGTAACACTTTAGATTAATTTCCTTGAAAAACATCAAGGAAAGTAGCATCATAAGATAATGAATTTCTCCATTAGGAGAAGAATGAACATAAATAAGATTTAGTTCGTTGGACATTATCAATTACCCATATATATATGATATATACTTCTAAGACATGTTAGTTGTAGAGATCCATCCATCATGGATCTTAGCAAGCTAGTGGGAGCCATAAACGTCTTATGAGAAAAGATCAATTGTTTGATTTCTCATAAAGATGTAAATGAATCTTTTGTTTACTAGGTTTACAAAAGATTAGTGGGAGTTGATTATATTCCTAAATTGAATATATATACATGATATATATTAATTTTGAAAATGAAAGGAATTCTTCATCGTTAAAGTTATGACTTTAAACATTCTATAATGATAGAATGTATATGGGAGACATAGTCTATATACATGGGATGGAAATCTATAATGATAGATTTCAAGATATAATTGGATTATATCAATCCCTAAAATAAACAAGAGATGCTAGGAAGTTTCTCATATGATGATAAACTTCAATTAGAATGACAATTCTAGTGAGACTAGGAAGTTGTTCTTCTCAAAGGGAATGTACCCTTTGACTCCCAAAGAAATAATGCGTAAATAGAATCCTTTATGCATACGCAGAAAGGTGATTTATGTATTTCATATTGTATGAAAACATTGATATAAGTCGTACCTAGAACGGTACAAGATGATATCAGTGCAAGCCCAGGATCAGAACCATGACAACTGTCAAGTGAGTCCTTAGGTATTTAAGAAATACTAAGGATGGATTCCTCAAGAATGAGGAAGAATTAGAGTAACGTAATGGAAGCGTAAATGTATTAGATTATGAATCCAATCCATCATAGAATATCTCTTCATTATGAATGAAGTGATAAAGAGATATCTCTTTATTATGACTAAAGAGATATTTGGGTGGAAACGTTAAAAGTAAATGACTTTAATGTGTTTCATCATGTATGCAAAATATATTGCCATATAGAAGCTTACAACATTGTTGTTTGGATGGGAAAGTTCATTCATGAACTCTTCATTCGGTTCCAACCAGAAAGTGTATGACACTAATGGGGCGATAGCTCAAGCCAGGGAATCAAGGTCTCATCAAGGTCCGAACTCAAATGAGAGACTGAACCACATGATTGAGAATCATGTATAATGGTAACGTCGTTATTCTCAAGGTTGCTTCTATGGATAACATATAAGATATCCATTGTCTAGGCCTACTACTCAGCCATTTATGAAATGAATTACAGAAGAGGTATCATCAATGATGACTAAGCTGATTGGCTCTAGTGCAAGTGGGAGATTGTTGGAAATGTGCCCTAAAACCAATCATATGATGATACTTACGGACATTTCAAACTAATGTAGTTTAAAGGGCAAACATTATTGTTTGAGCCGTCTCATATAAATGTTATATGCTTAAACGATAAGTCCAAGGAATATGTGATTGGAAGAATGCGATCTAAAGAAGTTAGATTCATGAGACCATTCTTTCGTTGACACATCCTAAACGTTCCTGATCATAGGATTGTCAATTGGGCATTGACAGTCCGTTAAGATCAGTACGTGCTATGTCTTCTCTCAGGGAGAGTGACTAGTCTCGAGTCATTGGTGTGTGTGACATCAAGACAAGTACGTAGGTGCTCAATAGAGAATGAGTTCACTGAACACGATCAACGAAGAGTTCTCATATTCATGTCACATGAGAACTCATGGTTGGGATAATGCAAATTAGTCTTTTGACCTGAGGCATCACAGTTGTCTTGTGGTTAGGTCCTTAATCTTTGATTATGTCAACGTCACTCTATCAGGGTGTCCACGGCATCGTTGGGGTTAAGCCACTTAGCCATGGAGGCAAGTAAATGCGCAACAAGGGATCTCTAACCTTCAAACTGTTTGAGGGAGAATACTCTATGATATGATTTGGAATCTCTGGCCAGAGTATGAATGAGATGTTGGAATGTGTTCCAGATCACATTCAAGGTAATCATATAAGTACAAAGATTCACATTGGATAGTAGACATGAATAAACTATCAAACCAAACAATGTGGTCAAGAGTATTGTATTAGAGAAAGACCGTATTGCATTTGTAATCCTAAACTGAATAGGTTCTCCACCTCTTCTGATTAGCTTGGGTAACCATGATATGCTGCTAGGTGTCACTCATGGTTTGTGGAAGCCCTAAAAGTGTATTATCATTAACGGGAGAATTGAAAGTAAGTTTCAATGCACAATCGATTTGAAAGAGTTTGAATCGCCCACTGCCTCGCTAAAAAGAACCTAATGGATCGTACACCGTGTAAGGTAGAGTTTGAAGATTCAACGGAGATGAGTAAGAATAATTAAATGGTTTAATTATTTATGGCAAGGATTAATTAATATGATTATTAATCAAACGAATAAGTTCGTTGAAGACCTCGGGATAGTTTTGGACCTTAAGGCCCAATGGGCTTCGAACGTCAAGCCCATTGACTTAAGTTGTATGACAACTTAATGAATAATGATTCACAAAGGCCCAAATAGCCCAATTAATCCCCATAGGCCGGCCATTTAGAAGAGGGTAGTGAACTTGGCTTAATTGCAAGTTTGCCACTCCATTGTGAGGTGGTATAAAGACATCTTTATAGTCATTTCATCCTTAGGGTTTTCTAGGGAGTAAAGATGAGAACACAAACCTCCCTTTGCTCTCAAAGAATTCGGCTAATCTAGAGGGGAAAATCTAGCAATCTTACTTCCTCTAGGTCACTCATTTCTTCTTTCAATATACCTTGGTGTGGAGACTTAGAGGTTCTCAATTTTGGGAACTTGGAGAAACCTTTTCATCCATCCAAATCCATGGATCCAAGATGCAAGGAATGAAGACCCTCTCTTTGGGTGATTAGCCTTTGCTTATGCAAAGAGGAATCTACAAAGGTATTGATTTCTCAACTCACTTTATTTTTGAGTTGAGTCTTGATTCACCTATCTACTAGGCTTTGAATTTCATGGGTAAATGTTTTGTTTTAAGTGCATACAAGCATGATTCCGCCTTTAATTGTTAATTGCATGCTATTGATGTTGCTTAAATGAACATGTTTTTCACAAATTTTCCTTCAAATGGCATCTACTTAACTCAAAGCTTTTGTTTCAATGATTAATCAGTAATAAGCAGGCGTATACAAGGTTGGAGGAATCAGTAGTTGAAGTTGAGCACTTGCCTTTGAAGGCACAAAGATGGGGTGTCTAGTAAAAGATCACCTCACCTCACTTTTTTTTTTTTTTTTTGTTTAAATTTGGTTTTATTTTCTGATTTGTATTTTCAAATTGAAAAAAGTTTGATGCTTTATGTGTTTAAGTAGGCGTGTGATTTTTTTTCAAGTCATATCTTAAGCGATTAGTTTTTGTACACGGTTTGAGTTAGTAAACATAATGACAGGAAGAAGACTATGGTTTGGATAAAACATGTTAATTTGCAGTCTTTTGTTAAGATCATCTGTATTTATAGTGTTCTAAAAAGATTATTTGTGTTCCTATTCTTTGCTAGAATGTTTTTGCATAAATTTTCATACATTTCTACACATTTATTCTAATCCCATGTATATTTGCTTGCAGTTTTGTTGCGGAATGAAGATAGATCCTATCTGAAGTTTATTAACTTTTCAGTCTAATAAGAAGATCAAAGTCCCGAGTATGCCGAATTTGGAGACCTAAAGCTATAGGAAAGGATAATACGTTTGGCGGTCTTCAATGTATATTGATTGATGAAATGGTAAGAATTTTGTTTTTTTTAGGTTTTTAATTTTGATAATACCATGATCCAAGAATTTATCAATAATGTTGACCTAAATAAGAAATGTCATCACTCTGTCTTAAAAACATCTTCCTGGTCATCATTGCCAATGCTTGAATTAGATAGGAAGGAAGGCCTACTAGATTTCTCTTTAGATCTCATATCACCAAAATAACTTTACACCAGTGTTGCTCGACTGTCTCTTCACACTCACTTCACCTATAGGATTGGATTTGGAAGGTCTACTTGATTTATCATCTGATCTCATATTACACAAATAAGGTGTTCATTCCAGTTTGCACCTAACTTACATACACATTAGTGTTGCTAGACTGTCTTTTCATTCTGATTTCACTTACAAAGTCATGATTTTATTAACTGTTGTATGATATTTTTTGACTTTAAATGATGCACTGTTCATATTTATCTTCCTAATTTTTTTTAAATTTATTTTTAATCATGTAGAAAGATGCAATTCAAGCCTCTGCAAAAGAAATGGATTAAGAGGACATTGCTCCAAAGATTAAATCTAATCATGTTTATGAGATCACACACTTTTGTTCTAGTCGTTGTATACCGACCTACAAAATTGTCCCCCATGACGCACAAGTGTGCTTCAATACAAAAACAAATTTTGAAAAGTTACCAGGTGTTCATCTACACATTCCCTCACATTGGTTTTACTTACTTGATTATTCTTAACTGTCTTCTCATATTGATTGACATGATATTCTCACAGGTAATTGTACATATATATATATATATATTAGTTTAGTATCAATTTGTCAATATCTTTTTAAGCATTTTGAGATATGACTACAATCTTTGGACAAATTTTGAGAAGTTCTGGGACGCATCACTGCAATAAAACATTTGGAGGACAAAATGATCGGTATGAGAGAATCGAGAAGATATGCGAAGTTAAGTTGCAAAATATCAAGTAAACAATATATCAAGACATCTAAATTTCTTAAAATTGGTGCACATCTTATTCAAAATACTAATTTTTTGTCTTAATATCCATTCACTTAGGAAAGAAAATGTTAACCTGATGTTGTGGGGAGACACTAGAAAGACCTTTGATTTCGAAGCTTTGGAACCCTTGACACCACCAGTTTTGGATGTTTTTACAAGCCTTAAGGTTAAACGATTCAAAGGTATGAAATTTTCTGTTCTATTTTCAATTGTTCATATTTATTGTATAAAATAATGATTTAATTCCTCATTTATAAACAACCAGAAAACATTGTGTTGAACAACAGTATTTCCACAATGATTTTCATTAATCCAGCATTCCTGAGACAGCCCCTTACTTCATTTCCTAAGTTTCAAATAATATTAAATATTTTTTTCATGTTGAAATTGAGTATGAGGGAAAAAAATATGGATATACCTGTTTGCTAATGATATGTATATAAATATGAAATTGTTCTTTCAAGTAAGCACATCTGAAAATACAACGTTTATATATTTATTTTTAGTTTACATGTTTCTAAAATTAAAAAGCCTATGATCTAGCTTTTTTAGTGTAACTCTGACCAAATACTTCGCTACAACTACCTAAAATTGTACGTTACAATCTAGTAGACGTATTGTAAACTTATGCAAGCTATGTGCAAACTTGGCAAGGTTTGTCAGGTTGACCAGAATTGTTTAAAAAAGGATGATACTGCACATTGTTGTTGTTGCTGTACAGTAGATGAAGTTGAATTTGTTTCCCTTTAAGGTCAAAATAGATTAGTTTATTAAAATTCATGAGATTTTTTTCTTATTCGCAAAAAATTCTCTCATAAAAATGTGTTCATTTTAATTTGCTATAACAGCATTTGCATATACATTTGCACAAACTTTTAAGAGCCCACACTTTAGAAACACAAGCCATGTTTGTATATGCATTAGATAGTGATGCAGTAAATTTATAGAAGTATGAAAATTATTCTTTCAAATTTCTGATGGTATAATATTTAATTTTTTTTTTTCAATTGATCAATGCTTAATGAATATGTTGTTAGTATCCCTTCATGGTTTAGATTCTTATTCTATTTTATTTGAATACAAAAATATATGTAGCTTTGTTGGTCCGACTCATTCTGTAAAAATGTTATCAATGTCAGCAAGGCAACTAATGAGATCAGAAGAATTAGAAAAGGCTGAAAAAATGTCTGTTCAGGATCTGAATGTTTTGGATCCAGATTTGTACAAGGTAAGCAAACTTTTCCCAATGTTTTAGAATTTTTAAAGTAAAGTATTTCCCACATGAACTTAAAATTCTAAAGTATTTCAATAACTATACTCACTATTTGTATATACATGTAGAAATTTATTGAATTACTGAAATTGAAAACTAGAAATGAACACAGTGAACCATGCCATACTAAGAAGCCTAGAGATTTGTAGATCTTAGAGATTAATACATATATGTGTTGAAATCAGACATATGTAGCTGTTGTGATACTAACACGCATCGTTTATTGTTGTTAAATAAATTATATTCCTCATATGATATATGACAAATTAGTTAAGTACATATCATTCTTAGATTTTAAACTTTGAACATAAAAAACATATAATTGAAAGAAGAAAAAAATTAGATTTGGTTTCTCTATTCTGCAACATGAACAATATGTTTCAAATATACATATATCTCAAAATTGGAGTGATGCTTTTGATATATTGGCTATGCACATACTATTAATCATTGTCTATATACATATATTTCAAGATTGGAGCGATACTTTTGATATATTATGTTCCCTCATTACATTATCCATATATTAATCATTGTATGTACACATACTCAGAACACTTTAGTCTTATGTAGAGCAGCCATTACACGTTTTGACACACATGCTGGATGGTGGTACAAAGCATGTCCATGCTGCTACAAACAACTTAGAAAGGATGAAAATAATGACGTGCTAATTTGTGTAAAGCACAATGTCCAAATTCCCCTCCCCTGGTAAGCCAAATGTTTATACCTAATTTCATAATATTTAAGTACCCTCCCCTGGTAAACCAAATGTTTATAAGTAATTTCATAGGCTTTATACTTAAATATTGTCCTTCATATACGTAGGTTCAAAGTATGTTTAATCCTTGAAGACGTCAGTGATGAGACTAGTGCCATCATCATTGGTAAACTAGTTGAATGTTTATTTGGAACTTCATGTTATGATTTAGTTGTCAAAAAGCGTTTAATGATCAACAAGAGTTACCATATGCAATTCTCCAGTGTCGAGGGTAAACAAAAAAATTCAACTTTGATTTGGAAATTTGAAAAATGATTTCAACAGAAATGATCTTTTGATCCAAGCAATTTTCAATGACAAAATCCAAGTTGTTCAATCAAGCTCCAAAGCTTCTTATGAATCAATGGCTGAATTTGAGGAGTAAGATATAGCAGCTCAGAATTTGTCATCTACCCCACCACTTTTTGAAAAAGAGTTAAAACATATCTCTTCCACCATTTCATCCACTGTTGTCACAACATCGCCTACAGAAAGTTCAATTTAGAAGGGTCTTTTCAGCTCTGAGACTAGAAAAAAATAAAAAAGGTAAGAGTTTTCACTATAAGTATCTCATTTGTATCTATATTTTCAAATAACATGACATTTAGTAATGCATTAATCTCTCTTCTGTTTATATGGATTTAAGGAAAACTAAAATTACCGAAGAAATAGATGAACAAAATGCTTCGGACACTGAAGATTTTCTCATCAAATCTCTCAGGAACAAGTGTCTCCAAACAAATTTGAAATAGTGTTACTGCTTCCAAAACCCTATACGTTACATCTATTTGTTATTAATGCACGTAATTTCATAACTCAAATTTTATCATATTTCTTATACAAAGAATTTAATTTCAATCTACAACAAGAACATGTGCAAAGATGACTGAAGTTCTCTGTAACAATACAAAACAAATGGAAGATTTTTTGATGAGCTCATGGACATAGAAGAAACATGAAAAATAGAACCATGTGGGCAATTTTGAAACTATATATATTTGGGACTTGAAAGTCCATTCTTTTATTCGTTCAAATTTGCTTTTTTGGTTTTACATAGAACTTTGAACATAGACTTAGTAAAATACAAGTGCAAAATGAATGACTAACCAATGTGGGAGACTTTTGGAAGTGTATATAAATATAACTTAGAAATTTCCCCTTTGGATTACAAATATGCTTTTGATGTAAAGTAAATAGAATGTCATGTAACTTAAAAACCTATTTTACCCTGTTTGTTTAGCTGTTCTATTAATTTATAAAATGTTTTGGAATGAATGTGTTGATTTGTGTATAGTAGTATATGTGTTGCAACATCAGGTTCAACTTTGTCTCAAATATGCATAAAAGTATTGTTGATACCTATAGTAAATTTTGAGTAAAGCTTTGATACAAGTTACATTATCACTGACATATTTTGTTGCACCACCTCCTTTTCTACTTATGTTACAAGGAATCATGACTCAATTTTGAGTCTCTCATTTTAGCCACACCACCACCAACTAGTATTGTACCTTAGATACCAATTAAACATCCATCACTCTCAAATTCATATGAAAAACTCATCATATGAATTGTATATTGTTGGTACTTAGAAATCCGATATTGATGAATTATTTAGAAATAAAAGTGTTAAATTGTGATTATGGATTCATAACCCACAGTGGAGCGCGGACAATTATAGCTAGTATCATACTATACAAATTGATGTTGTATGTAGTGTCAAAAATGACCACATCACCATAAAACTTGTATGCCTACCTAGAACTTGCATCGGCCCAAAAACATTGAGTAATCTTGTGTTCTTCATCCGCTTGAATTTTGAATGTGAATTCAAAATTTCTTTCTTGCTCTAGCAAAAATGATCATGCTACATTTTTCCATCATGCCCCTTCATCTGATTTCGTACTTTTATTCGATAGTTATATAAATCTTCTTGTGTACAACTAATATTTTCAATTCCACCTACCTGCAATCCAAGAATTTCAAATTGTTTGTGTGGAGGTATGTTTGCCATGTCTAACTGATGAACTAATATTTTATGACACTTAGTAACTTTGTAATGAGACTTTATCAAGTAGCGTCTCCGTGGGGATGCCATTGGATGATTATGACCCTCATCCAATATAGTGATTGCATACCCACCAAGTTTAGATCTCACAAATATCAATCTTGCTTTACAACCCTCTTTGGTTAATCCACGAATTGTTCGTCACCAATCCATTCTTTTGTATTACTTCCCTCTTTGTTGCACACAAACTCCTTTTTCATGATCTCACCATCCTTATTTTCTTACTTGAATGCATTTAGACACTAAACCCAGCCTCCCTTGCATAGTTGTTGTAAAATTCAAGCACTTCGTCTAATGTTTCAAAATGTTGACCTATGGTAGGCTTGAGCTTATCCGTTACTTGAGGATAGAAAAAAACAAATAGCAACTACATTTTTTTACTGATTTTTCATGGGAACTAGCGTGTCAGTAGCTTTTATAACTTGAATAGGCATTTCGTCAATTTCCATAACTTGAACATGAACATTAGCACAATCAAACATCCACACCAAAAAGAATAATAAAAACATCAACAAAATTTGAAAAGAAGAACGAAAGTCAAATTATTCAACTACTCCACTAACACATTCAAATATGTAAGCCAATTTGAATTAGAACTCAAAAGGTTTTTACCTTAAAACCCGAAAGAAAACCACCAAATTTATGGACCCATTCAAATCTGTAACCAATTTG